AAAATAGCTGGGTGTTGTGGTGGGTTAGGCCCAGCTACTTGGGAGGCTGAGACAAGAGAATCACTTAAGCCCAAGAGTTTGAGGTTATTGTGAGCTACAATGCCATAGCACTCCACCTGGGGCGACACAGTGAGACTCTGTCTCAAAAAACAAACAAATTAACAAAAAAACCTCCAATGATTAGTTGAGTACTGCAAATGTGCATAATCAATATCTCTTTCATACATTTTGGTGTTCTCTAATTTTAGTTTCAATGAAATTGTGTTATTTATGCAATTGTGTAATTTTATAGTAAAAATTGGAGCAATTTCTAAATGTTTCAATATAACTACATGAATATTGGCAGAAATAGCAACAGAAGAAAACACATATAAAAACATAAATCTTCTTTAGTTTATATCAATTAGAAACCTAAAAAAAAAAGTAGAAACCTATTTTCCAAAATACCACTATGAAAGAGCAAATGAAGAAAAAACAATAATGCATAATATGTGGGAAAGTCTTAATATATAAGGTAGTCTCCAAGTTTGTAAGAAAAATAACCACACAATTAAAGATGAGAAGAAAACAAATGAAAAATTCCCCTAAGGCATATGGTATTGGTTAATAATCCTCTAAAAATGTTTAACCTCTCTGCTAGTCAAACATATAACAATTAAAGAGATGTTTTTGAAATTAAAGTAATAGTATTAGAAATAATAGCTTGCTTGATTTTGTTACTGGAATAAAATATTTCATTTTCATATTATTATAAGTTATTAAGTTGTCAGTATGCTATTTCTACAGGGAAATGTATCAGTTCTGCAAAAAAAATTGAACAATTTCTTCCCCATTGGAATTTCCCTTAAAAATGTGTCTTAATACTGCTCTCTTTATACACTAGTCTGACTGGATCTTTGGTTCCTTTAATGCTCTAACCCCTTGTTGCCTGAAGATCTCTTTGCACATACTTCTTTCCTACCCTGAATCCCTCCTGCTCTGCCCACCTTACTCCTACTAATTATTCAGATTTCAAACTATAGCATCTTAACGCCTGTGACACCTTCTGTACTCCTAGGACCAAGTCAAGTCATGTGCTTGTCATCCTGTCATTTTCCTCCCCTAATACCTTAATGAAATAGTTTAGGTGACTTTTTGCTATTTATTTGTTCTTCTACTACTTCCTTGTTCGGTACTATATCCTCAACATCTAGTACAGTTAGTGTTGAAAAAATGTATCTTTAATGAATGGCATTTATGCTCTGCAATACTCCTACGATCCTTATCCGTATCAGTGAAAAACTGAAGACAACAGAAATACAAACAATATGACAAAGATTAAATGTACTATTAATATTATAGATCAGAAAGATTATGCATCCTCAAAAGTGGTGATTACAAATAAATTTTTAAAATGTGGGAAATGAAGAAATTCTAATGAAATCTACATAGACAACATAATTGCTTACACTGCATGATTTCCAATAAACAATTATGTAAATTTGATTGAAACTGGATAATTCTATTAGTTGTATTTTCTCTATTATTTCTTAAATATTTGTTCATTCTAAACATTTTAGTTTAAAAATATATAAATATTGATTTGGGAGTATCACATAAAAATGGATTAAGCTTTTATATTCAAAAATATTCCAGCCATAATCAGTAAGTACAAGATATGGGCATTATTCAAAGTTGCCAAAATGTCACTCTGTTCACATCTTGGGTTAGATATAAAAATTCATTGTAAACGTCTGCATCTGAAATATGACTCTAAGTACAAGTCTGTGTGTATGAATGTGTGTGTGTGCTTATGAAACTCTAGAGCAGAACATTTTATATTTCACACAACTTGTATCAGCCTTATGTCTCTTGGTCAAGGATTATGTTGAGTCCTTTGTATCAGTAATTCTAGTAGAATCTTTACTCAACTCTAATCAAATAAAGAGTAACAGGGGTTCATAACTTTGCTTCATCTCAAGTCACTATGTCTGAAGAGTATTAAGATTCATTGCATTTGTGCTCTGATCCTATCTTCCCTGAGTATACTCTATATACTTAGCTGTTTTTCTTTTTTAAAAAATTATTTTTAATTTAAACTCATTTGCCACTATTTCCTGGTGATTGAGTTTCAGGAACATTTAATATGAATCTATTTGTTTTATATATAAGTTTATGAGTCACACCCACATTATGACCCTCTTAAAAATTCTGAAGGGCAGGAGACACCTGTGGCTCAAAAGGGTAGGACACCGGCTCCATATGCTGGAGGTGATGGGTTCAAACCCAGTCCCAGCCAAAAAAAAAAAAAAAATTCGAAGGGCATAGCAAAAAGCAGAAAAGGGCCACCTCCATAGGAGTGTTTATCAATGGACCCATCTTTGCTTTCCAGCTACTAACAGAAACACCTGACCCAGCACCGACTGGGAAAATCAGCCTTTGATTCAGAGATGTTGTTCAACAATGATTATTACAGTTACACACCATCAGCCCACCAGGAAGTTGAGAAGGGGAGGCAGACAGCCAGAAGAGAACCCTGGTCTCTCACCAGGAAGCAACTCTTGCTCCAAGCAACAGGAGGTGACTTAGTGCCATAGGGAAAACGATAATTCAGCCATTGCGTTTCCAGGATTAGGCAGCACCTTTGTTCACTCATGGAAGCCTTTGAGCCTCACTGGTGCCTGGAACCGAATGTAATCCTCCCAAGCTGTTGTTTGGATGGAAGGTTTACCACAAGACAGAGTCACAGTCAATTCGTGGCCTTGGGTGGGCACCGGATAGTTAAGCTTGAGTCGAAACCAATCTTCCCCACTGTCACCGTGTCCCTGTGTCATGACGATGGTGCCCATGAGTGGAAGAGCCTACAGCTCGCTAAAGGTATCAGCCATGAAAATGGCTCGGAAAAGACGGCGCAAACAAGCTGCTGTGCTCAGGCTCTGGTGCATACTATTGGAGGCCAGCCGGGACAAGTCCAGTTTATAGAATTCCTTAGAGCATAGGGCACTGCCCCCAAGGAGTATCAGCACTCGTGGTGCTAGTGTGCATGCAACCAGGCCCTAGGTGGCTGAGGACACTCTCTAATTGTGCCAGGGCTTGTTGGCATTTCTTGCTGCTCACCTCAGCCCAAGATTTCTTTCTCACCATCTCCTCTGCCTGGAGTGAAGGTTTTCAATAAAAGTGCTTAAGCTGTTCATAGGGCAGAGGGAGTTGCTGGCGTTGGTACATGATATGCTTTAGATTCCATCCTCAAACTGCAGCCCGCAGGCCACATGCGGTCCCCTCCCCTCCTCCCGCCACATGCGGCCCCCCACTGACATTTATCCGGCCCGCCAGGTGTGCAGCCACTGCCTGTCCTGCTTAGCAGCCGACTCATCCTGCGGCCTGCAGTCTGGCTCAACGGTCTGAGAGACAGTGAACTGGACCCCTGTTTCAATTTAAAGTTTGAGGATCCCTGCTTGAAGTTCACAAGTAAGCGGATAGCAGCCCTCCTGGCTCACAGGCCCAGGAAACACCACTGGTATCATGACATCTCTTGGGCAAAAGGACTCTGAAGGGTTGGGAGGTTCCTGGGTAGTCTCGAGTAGTTGTACCTGGGGAGCCTGAGTTTCTTCGGACTTTTCATACCACTCCAAATCTCGGACTACAGCGGGGGACAGCATTTCCGGCTCCAGTGTAGCCCTCATGACCTCCTCCCTCTCCTGCGTGCCGTTAGAGTAATCACCCAGATGTTCTTCAAAGAACTATATGTACTATCATTACTACTACTACATCAAATAACACCAGAAAAACAGAATGTTAGATATTAAACTATGCAACTAAAAGCAATTTTTAAAAGAATTGAAATAGGACACTCATAAGAAGCACCCGTCTTCCCTTTTCTTCCATGTTCTAAATGTCAAGATTGCTCATAACTTTCTTCGTCTTGGTTTTTTTTTCTTTGGGTCTTCTTGGGGAATGGATATCAATCTTTAAGGAAAGGGAAAAAGCCAATGAAAAGTCTTGTTTTAGATGCTGATTGTCACCATCGTAATCTTTACAATGAATAGTCTCAAGAGAGTGTTGTTCGTCTGGGAGGTGTGTTGGAAGAAGTTGCAGAGAAGAAAATATACTAAACCATGGTATATGCATGTGAGATTAAAATTTCATCAAAGAGTGAAATTGCTGAAAATGTACTCAAACAATTATGGAGGATTTCAGTGAAGTTCAATAACAGTTAAAAACTGGAGGAAGAAAGCTGTGCAAGTGAAACAGATATTCAAGGATTTTTTCCACTGGATTATTCTGCCAATCTGTCTATGTAGCTCTGAGATTTTCTTCTTTTTCACAACACTTTAATTTCAGCATTACCCTCAAAGAAGCTTGCTTTAGCCTGCTGTTTCCCAGAATTAGAATAAATGAGTGACCGCAGGGATAGATGGCTGTGGTTGTCATTCCAGAAATGAACAGCAGTTTGTTTTCTGGGACAGTAAAATATGATATTTCTATGGCATAGCCTACAAAATACAAGATAAAGAGGATGATGAAAGTTATCAGCACTTTCATTGCCTTCACGTGAGCTTCCGTGCTGGGGTCTCTGAATCCTGTGGCATTGAATTGCATCTGCCTTTTGTGTCTCCAAAGGGAAACGATTAACAAGAAACAAGTAATTAAGGATAGTGTAAAGAAGAAAACGATTCCCAGATTTATTGCAACCTGCTGAACAAAGAAATCACTTATTTGCATGTTGAATTGCCAGGTTATGTTTCTAGGCTTCATTTTCTCATCATTAATACTCTTTGCAAGTTGTGGAATAGTAATTACCCATGAAATAAGCAAGGATCCCATTAGAAGAGGAAGAATTCTATTGATTCTACTTTTCAACCAGAGAAATATGTAGTGAGAAAAATTTGCTATCTTCAGGAAAAAGAAGATATTGAGGCCGGTGGCAAAACAGATACTTGAATGATTCAAAATTACCCACAGGTAACTTAAATATTCAAACAGGTTACTAAAGTAATACATATTATCAGAGAATACATGCATCAAACCATTTATTATTATTATCCATATCAGACAAATTCTAGAAATTGCTAAGCCAGTGAGAATAAAGCCAAGCATAGAGAGCTTCTTCTTGACACAGCCAATGCAGTACATAAGTGCAATAAACCCGTTACCTAAAACTCCCAGGATGGACTCCATAATTGCAGCAAAAAGGAAAATGCCTTCTAATATACTTAGCATGTCTGCCAATTCTTAATTTTGCTTGTGTTTTGTCTAATTTAGATTACCTGCTGCAGACTAGGCATGTATTGGCTGTTTGATGGAAGAGTGATTTTCTTTTCTTTCATTATATAAAGTCTTAAAAATGTTCCAGGAAGGCCTTGTGATGGAATCACAAACTTCTTCATGGACACACCTCCACTTAATACCTACAAAACTTAGCTGGTAAGAAAATGTGTGCTCACACTGAACACCTGCCCATAATTTGTTAAGTTGCAAATAAAAGTATCTGTTTCATGGATTTTACTTGTCCTCCTGAGACTACTTTGCATTCATTAAATTAAATTGTAGAGAACTAATGTCAAACAGGTACCTACAGTACACAAAACACAATGAAAGTATTTGACTTTCTGTTTTTCAATATGAAATCATCCTCACTTGTTTGTAATTAGAGTTTAGATATACAAATACTATATAGAAGTAATAAACAAAATTAGCCATTCTAGCTATTTATTTTGAATGCTTAATTTGATTTTTTCATGAAAATTGAAGCTCAATTCTGGGTCTGCTAAGTTTCACAAATATTATCTCACAAAATTGTTGCTGGGGTTTTGATACCCATAATTATTATGTCCATGAATAAAGAAGATTACAGTGATCATTATTGACATAAAAGGCTCTTAGGAATAGTCTCTCCATTTAACATATTCTACTCTGATGGAACCCATTTATTCATTCACTTACTAAATGTCTAAATACACCAAACTCTTTTAAGCTCACTGAGACAACATAGCAGGAGACAGCACCTCACGTCTTTTGTAATTTATGGAGTTTACATTGCAGTGGAAGAGGCAGGAAGCAATCAGGTAAAGGCTAAAGCATTATATTAATCCCCAAATTAAAAGTGAAGTCTAACAAATATTGATCCTTCATTATGTTCCCAGCATTATGTTAAGTACTTTATTGTCATTTTCTGACTTTAAAATTCACAGAAAGACTTCAAGCCTTTAAGTAGGGACTATATTTATCCTTATTTTAGCTTATAGAAGAGCTACTATTAATTTACTTATAAATTAAGCTTATAGAAGAGCTACTACTTATTTATGCTGACTCATAAACAAAATTACACAATGAGTTCACAATGAAATATCATCAAGCATAGGAACAGACTATCAACTACAGTTAGCAAGACAAAATGAACAAGCCAATAAAAATCAAGCAGCAAATTGAGAATTCACATAGACTGTGTATATTGGAATGGAAAGATAGGAATATGTGTATGTGTATGTCAGTGTAATTGCTATGTACATACGGTTTAAGAAATAGGATGCAATTTCAGAAAAGAGCAGCAATAAGAGACCATCAGGAAAAGATGGGAACATTTGAGGACACTTCTAGAAATGAAAAATAAAATTTTATTAAATGTAAATGGATCAAACGCTTTAAGTAAAAAAATATTAGTGATAGCAAAGATTTTTAAAAATCTGACAATATACTGCTTACAGAAATTCATTTTAAATTTCAAAAAACAAAGGCTTAAAATTAAAATGATGAAAAAATAGACAATGTAAACATGACCCAACAGAAATCTGGTATAGTTATAATGATATCATGTAAAGTAGACTTTTGGTTAAAAATCAATATTACAGAACAAAGGGGAGTATATTTTATAATGATAAAAATGTTTAAATTAGGAGAAAGTCTTAACAGTTCTAAAATTTACAAATGAAATAGTCTAGAAAACATTTACATCAGTAAAAGTAAGAAAAAGACAGTGGATCCCTTCACATATCCTATAGAAATACTCTTTATATATAATAAGCTTTTAGGGAAAACATGTACAGCTTGGCATAGACTATCTGATGAAACTCATGGCCACTTAAATAAGCATTTTTATGGTGGACTATTTCTGCTAGGAGCACTTTTTAATGACCTTGCTAGAGAAGACCTTGGTATGCATAGTTTCTTCAAGATGACGTTACTCCTGTGATGGCTGTTATCCTACACTCCACAACTCCATAGTAGGGACAGCCATTTTTCAGGGGCTTTTTGTGTGTGTGGTCACAGGAAATAGGGTTAATTTGCCTGCAGGATGTTGCCTCTTCTCCCATATGTCCTGACCCATATTTATGCCCCATGCTAGTTCATCCATAATCACTGACTATTCTTGTTCCCACTGGGCTAGCCACATAATTAGGCCTTTCAATACAGAGGCCAAGACTCACGTGTGATCACTAACTAAGCAGCTCACAACTCAGCCCACTGACTGCTCTGCTGTATATCTGTATCAGTGGTCCAAGTGCAGGCATTTCCCATGCTGGAGCCGTCCGTATACCAAGAATCATCAGAGATGAGCAAAACTGCTTTCTTACTGTGTCAGGCACTAGAGGAAAAGGGAATAGGGAGGTGTTCTTTGGTTGCTTCAGTGGGATCAAAAACAGCATGCAATTTGTGCCTCAGGGACTCATTGCCAGAACACTTCATTATTATAAATAGGCATACCATTTAATAAAAGTAGATGTGTGGGCTACAGAGGAGGGGTGTCATTTGAACAATCCTTCTATCCATTCCTTGATTAGTAGACCCATTCTCACAGTTACGGGGAGGGGGGGTCTTAGTGAACAATTCTATCTGCTATAAGAATAATGTACTGTTAGCAGTTGTTGATCAATGGTAGAGTATTTGGCTTTGGCTCCTTTCCATAATTATGACCAAAATCCTAAAGGAGTTGATTTGCCATATTGTGGATGCCCGAAGATCCAGTCAGTAACCTCACAGGCATGGCAATGCCCTCTAAAGTGTTACCTAAGACTGATGTCTGGTATAC